CTCAACTGCTTCATTGAGAGGTTCAACGGTTCAAAGCCCCGACGAAACTCACACAAGTTACTACCTCATGGACGCCCTGTAGATATCTTCAAGAACCCGGAGCTTTTTGAGTCACGCAATTTTGCTGTAAGTTCATAGTATCATTTCCACTTTGTCATATACTTATAATACATACATCTACAGGTTAAGGTGCATCCGCCGTATCTAACAGAAGTGCGAGACAAGTATGCACCACCCGATCACCCTGTTTTTCATCTGGTCCCGCCGGCCTTTTCGTTACAGGCACGCACATTCTGGGATGCTGCCAACTACCCTCAAGTTGGCCGAGAAAACATATGGGACATCTATTTACACTTACTCCAGCAGTTCCGAGATCAGCCAAACAACATGGAGTTGCGTACTGTGATGGCCCTTTCAGTGAACTCTAATGAGGAGGATGAGTCCGAATTCATGCCAGTCATGGAGCTTCCACCCCACCGGCAACGGAGGCGCGTTGTAGGAGATGCACCACAGAACACCGGGGGCTACTCATCTGACGAAGCTGATACAGATTTTGAGTATGAGTGGACAGACGACTCGGATTAGCTTAGGCCTTTTAGTATGTGTTCTGGTCTTTCTTGTTTTCTTGAAATGCACTTTGGATATCAAATCATTGTATTGTACATAGAATAGCTAAATACAACAATGAATGTTTCTATGGAATCATGCTTTGGGCCCGAGAACTTGAGTTCTGGAATGCACAACTGTGCAGATGCTGTAAGGAGCAACTCACACCGAGTTTATTTGTAATTTAATATGGGAATTGTACCTTCCAGTCTCTTTGAGATCTCCTTGATCCTCCAAGCATGTGAGTACAATGGGATTCCATTGTGCGTCGGCGGAGACCATTGTTTTGGCTTTGCGTTGAATCATTTGGTTAGTGCGGGCTAATATGAGACATATGACCACAAGAAAGAGCTGGAACTGACTGTGCATTACTGTATTGGCGTGAGCATGTGGTTGACGCGAAGCTCTTCAAGAATGTGTCGCCAGAATTGCATGAAAAGATTTACAGTGCTGTCTGAACAGCTGATTATTCCGAGATCGTGAAGTACACACGTGATGTTGATTTGTTGGACCTTAGCTATTGTTCTCACGCATGAAAATTCTGCAACTCTGTCAGACTGCCGTGTTTGTAGATCTCAATAATTGTCAACTATGGGCTGTAAGTCTATGCTGCCTCAAGCAAACAGCTATAAAAGGTACGGGTGAGTTCACAATTATCATCCAGACATACTTACCTCCTCCTTCCAAATTGCAATGACTCAATCTCCTCCCCCTGGTCGTTCAAACTCTTCCAAGCAGCCTGAACGCTCCGTGAGTGAAGATTGCCTCAGCGACGAGGAAGAAACTATGAGTAAGGCCTTCTCATGTTTCTGATTATTGCACTAACTTACGTGTACCTCCAGACATCCTCCTTTCTCTCCTCTCATCCGTAACCTTGAGTAGGAGCAACGCTATGCTCATGATGTCCGCTGTTCTTGGCAGTGCCCGCCCTTCAACTCCATCAAGTCCCATATACACCAGCTCTTCCCCATCTTCCTCAATAGTTCAAGGGTCGCTTGCCGCCAGCTCTACTGTGGTATCTGGTCCTTCAGCTGCTGCTTCTTCACGCACTCCTGCTTTGGGTGCCGCCTCTTCTCCGCTTACTCCTGCTTTGGGTGCCAGTGCTTATGCGACAGTTTCTCCGATCACCACCAGCTCTCCTCTTTTCACCACAGCACTTGGCTCGCTCGCTACCCCTGCCGCTCCACCTGGAGGTAATGTGCCAAATGCCTCACAGGCTATCACTCGCACATACCTCGGCCAGGTTTATGAGGTTCCTGATGCTGGGACAGCTGGTCCCTTCTATTTGGTCACCAGAGGACGTAGAATTGGTATCTTTGCTGCGTGGTAAGTGACCTTTGACTCGTCGACTTCGAAACTGTCTCATCTCTATTTTCTCAGGCAGTCTACCTCTCCTCTCGTTATCGCTGTCAGCCGCGCCGTTTTTACTCGCTGTCCTTCTATTTCCGCCGGTATCACAGCCATGCAGAACACAATCGAAGCGGGTGAGGTGGAGATCTTACCTTGAGGAGAGGGGTTGTCAGTATATGTGTAATACTTGTAATTTCTTGATGTATTTGGACGCTTGAAATCCTATGTTGACATATTGAATTGCACGCTCGCTCGATCTCTCATCACACTGGCTTTTGCCCAAATCACACTCGCTGGATCAAAGAAATTAATTAAAATGTATCTTCGTTGATCGCCCATCAAAGGCCTTGCTCGAATTTTGCTAAATACAAATATAATAGCTGAAGGTACATCGGATTTTGAAAAATATTATGCCGGACATTGGCCGGGCTCGAAAGTTGAACCGTAACCAATCATCCACCGTATTATCACTCACCGGACCGCTCAGGATTACAGTTCATAGATGGTTTATCAACTTGTAACAATGATGCGGTCTCAGTCAATACTCGAGTATGACGACTCCGCGGAGTATAATGACAAACAAACAGAGTCTAAGATAGACTGGCGATCGCAAGACTCAAGTAGTATTACAGTCCTCGATATCGTAACATAACAACACACAATTACAAAGTACCATCTCAGAAACCAGCTGCAAATGTCTCCCTGTAAATTATACGGTGATTCTAGATGCAACGCTAAGCGCCTCGCATCTGAACGCCACAATAGCCTCCGCGTCTGCATCCCTATCCGCACGCCACGCTCGCACCTCCAGCGCCCTCGCTATCTCGCTCAACGCAACAGCGCAGCCCGCGTGTGCAGGCGGGAACGCGCCGAACAGGGCACGATGGGTGAACAGCGTGTCGAGATACGCGCCTCCTGTGGTCTCGTATGGCATCGGGAGCGGATAGGGGTGTGGGTAGGGTGAGAGCACGGGGGAGGCTGGGGCGAGCGAAGCGAGGATGGATTGGAGGAAGAGGCATGCGGGGGGTGAGACTACTGGCGAGATGATGGAAGACGTTGGAAGTGGGTCGCAGAAGCTTGAGTTTGATGATTCCGACGCGTCGGACTGTGCATGTCCGTTAAACAGTCAGGGGCTGGGTACAAAAAGGGCTAGAAGTCACGTCTACTCACATGGTACGCCTGGTCGTATACTGTGTGTGTGCTTGCAGCGTGTTCGTTTACCCTTTGATACGCAGATGGGGCATAGGGGATGAGCGCGTTTCCCGGATCCTTTCTCCATTAACGGATAGGTAAATACCACAGACAAGGGAAGATTGAAACGAGGCATTGGAATGACGCTCGCACAAGAGAATAGATCAGATGCTCACCTTAGATAAACGACTTTGAGAAAGAGACATCGTTTGGAGCAGGTCGCATAAATCTATGTAATCCTGGAGCAATGATGAGATGTAGATAAAATCATATATCATAGATATGTCAACGCACTGGAGCTCTGTGTTCGTGCCCATACTTTGAGATTGTGGTGATGGGGCTAGTAGCTGGGCTCATGTCGATGTCCATGATAAAGATGATGTAGTTCAGATAGACAGGAGTTGCGAGAAGTGTCGTAAACCGGATTCGGATTCGGATAACGGATGTGAGATGCTTGACTTGGAAGTCAATGCGCGCTAATCGTGCTGATTATTCTACTGAAATCCGAGTGCGAGTAGTATGTGGTGATGGAACAAAAGACAAAGAGGTCACTCTATGCTATATGTACCCGCCATACAGTAGCATCGAAGCGACATGCGGAATCGAGTCAGCGGACATGTTCTTGCCTCGTGTATCACGCGCGCGTAGAACAAACTTGGAAAGAAAGATGTTAATGGCTGCGAATCGCAGGCTGCTTAGGCTTGGGGTAATGAGATACGTCCTTTCTTGGATAGATGGGGGCGGATGCCTCGAGGTAAGCTGTGATACATGCTTTGACGGTCTGTCAAGAAAGATAAAAACGTAGCATTTGGCCTCTGTCACGATGTCATTACAAGCGGCCAGCTAACCAATTGTGGTATTTAACTCGGAATACTCCGACAGTGACTTGTCAGTGCTGCTCAATTCTATTAGTTCAGTGACTGCCAACCATAGGTACCTGCGCTCCTTGTCACTATCAGCCATATCGTCCAAATCAATCACCACTTCTCCTACTGACGAACACTGCGTTGGAGGCACGGTCTATATGTCGATGCCGATCGAAGAGGAGAAACTTGCTATCCTATATGATCTGATCCGAGTCAGCGTCAGTAAACTTGCCGCTTCAATAGTACGACTGGCATCTTGGACTGGTGCATGTTTGCTTTGCATATTGCGCGTACATCCGACTGCGACCATTCCGAGGAGTAAAAAATGAAGTGGGAAAATTTTCACATGATGTGGTGGAGTGTTCTGCATTTCCAGCGAATATTCATTATAAACCAGCTTCTATTCGATCGCAAATATTCAGATAGCGAGGTCCGGTTTGTTCTGACGAGTTCCACTATTATCGACTATGTCCATCTAACGAACTGTCCGGAAGGCGTAACGTTCAAACTGATCAAAAAGAGTACTAGGTCTGAGGTAGGAAGGTGGGAAGTTGGCGCCAAAGTCGATTGTGTAGAGCGAAGTATAGTGTGTGTTTTTTCTTTCTTTTTTCTTTCGGTCGTCAGCGCGCTGTCTCTGAAGCTGAAGCTAGGCCCGAAGCTAGGCCCCAGGAGATTCAGCTCTGCGTATGTGACAGGAGATGACTTATAAACTGTTATCGGGGTTATGTCATATTGGGACCCCTGCTTCGGCAGCGCTTCGTCAAGATGGATGCAGCTGTGAACACAAGCCAGAGTCTGCAGAACAATATCAATATTCTCAAAGCCCGCAAGATGAGCACAACTCGTACCTGATGATGATTGCCTTCGAGCCGCACAACCTCCGATAACGACCACCCATTCCTAGGTAACATGAATTCACGAAGTCCAAATGGCTCTTCCAATGGGAAGAGTTATGATCGAGTAGCTCAGGGCGCACTGGCCGGAAGGACCTAGTGGATGCCTCGCAATGCATAGGGGCCACAGGGATATTACTGGGGAAGACACTATTGTGCAAATGCCATCCATTTACCGAGGGTATTCGGTATTCCTTAAGACTACGTTCAATTTGGTCATGAACGAAATCGAGGACACGGTAAAGAGGTGCGGAATATACCATCGGTGCGTTGGTTCAGCTCTCCTACAGAACCACACATCACGGATGGAGTAGTGACGCCCGCCTTGCAAAACGTTATGTTCATAATGTGAGGAAACATGCCCATCAAAACACACCTCTTTGACTGATAAGTAAGCCGTCCGTCCGATCGAGCGAGTCCTTGCCTCATCATCCAGGTTGTAAGGGCCTCGCTGCTCGCATGAAATGAGATGGACAACGCTATATTCGTGGGAACGACGTTATTCTATGGGGAGACAAAGAGCAAGGCTTATCATAAATCCCACGAGAATTTGGTTCAAGCCTTCTAGCCCCCATGTCCCACTGATAGGTTTTTCCAGAGGAGATACTGGATCCGCAGGATGGCTGAGGCGGAGCGTGAGTTGGGCTTTAATGGAAGTTTGCTGGAATGGTTTCTCAAGAAAACAGAAGTCTTCCATGGCCAGTCGGTCGTTTCATGCCCACGGATGCGAAGGACGTGATAAGACAGCGTGACATCGTCCTTGAAAGATATGGAGTGGTGGTTTGAGCGATAGAAAGGCATGTAATTTGATGGGTATGTGAATTGATTTTCGTCTTGTTATATATAAAGTTCCTGTAGTAGTCAGTAGATCGCTATGTGGTAAATATCTGAGCTTTGTTTGGACCTGAGATTGAACTCTTATAAAAGAATCTGAATCCAGGCGTGAATTTATAAGCTGGTTCTATGATATGATTTGAGTAAATTCCATCGACCGTCTACTGTGACATGGAAGCCGTTGATAGACATCCAATTCACGAAGGACGAGATCAAGATACATTACTGAAAGAAAGAAGAAAGAATCACAAGTTAGCAACGCTGGTCTTTTTGAGACAATAGAGATAATAGTGTAAGCCAGAAAAATCCAACAAAATCAGAGAGAAGATAATGTGCCCTCCTCCTGCCACACGGGCAGTTAGCGAACACAGTGTCATCCACAAGCGTCGTGAGACCTCGTGTCTTTACAACAATCGATACATTCAATTTCATCGTGTAAAACCCCTACGTAAATTGTCCTACTCACCAGTACTATGCGGCGACGAGCGACGCGAAACGTCGTGTTGGGACGATAATACTTGAACTTGAATAAGATGCTAGGTACGTTTAGACGTTGAAGGACTCTGAAACATCAATGATGGATCGATATATGGACATATCGATGAAAGATAACTCTAGGAGATGTTTCTATAATAGCGTTGGTGCTGCCAGTAAAACCAGTGTAGTTGACAAGCAACGTTGCAACGTTACATGTCACGGTTCATATCTAGTGACGTCATGTGACACTTACTTATTCTGTACAGTTCGGCGCATTCATTTGTATGTTCTCCCTCTCGTGTTAAGGTTACAAAGAATTGGAAGATGTCATGTTCCGACATTCTGTGGCAATTGATCCTGCATCCACGGTTGATTAGAGAGAAAAAAGTGGGTTTCAAAGTGACAGCACATCAGTAAGTACAATCGATTCAAGCTAAACGCAACCTTCAAGTAAAGGGAATCATTGATTACATCAATAACAGTCATCATTAAGGAGCGCCTGAGCGCCTTCGTACGCTTGGCATCGAAACGCCGTAATCGCTCGTGGATCCGTACAGGTATAAGATGCTCGCTGTACGACTTATCTCTCTTGCTTGTGCTTATTGTGGGCCAGTCATTGCATCCGCACTGCCCCCCAAGTCTGTTTGCCTGCAGGACCTACATGCCTCACAGTGAGTGGCTGGAAGCACGGGCGGTAGACGCTCGCTTGTAGCCTGACCATGTACTTCCTTTACATAGGACGGAACATTCTGCATCACAGTCGTTACTGGCGGACTTTCGCTGGCCTTTTACCTCCCATGAACCCCACTGCCCCTGAGGAAGGTGCTATGAGTGCTTCAGACGATTGCAGGAAACCAGGTTTCAACTACGATTTACCTCGTAAGTCTTGCAAGTATTGTATTAGCTTGGTCTTAGTAATCTGTTCTCTTCCATCGTTGTTCACAAAAGTCGACGACGACCCAGACAATGCAGGTGGTCAGAAGAAGAATAAGACTCCGTCAGCTGGGAGTACCACAACCGACTCTGACTTTGTATCTGCATGGACAGATCGCCTACAAGTATTGACAGTGCTCGTGAGTTCTTGTGTTTACATAAAATCATTCCATATCTGCGTTACTCAAATTAAACCAATTACATGTTCATACTTATGCTTGTTCTTACACCATTTATTAGACAACATTTCTCGCGTCGATGGATGCATCTCTCTTTTCTCTCACTGCACTTGGCACGATACCGGTTGGTGAGCGAGAGAAGGATTTGGTGTATGGTGCGCTTGCTGGCGCGTTAATTTTCCATGTGTGCGCATGTAAGTCTCCTCGGCTGAGCCTAAAGCTCATATCATCGGATCGTTCACCAATCACTTTCGTGGACTCAATTCTAACAAACGTAAAACGTTTTCAACAGCTATATTAGGCTTCACTGCATCATTCGTCCTCATCCGATACAGAATAGTGGACGCCAAGTTGACGTTGCTAACTCATGACGATGCCTCGAAACAAGGAGCTACTGGAGGACCGTCTACTCCAAGTTCTCCGCAATCACCTTCAGGGAAGAATTTAGCCTGGAGTGATCGGCCCATTGTATGTTCCGATAAGCAGCATCTGCTCATCATAGAGCCAATTCGGCCCTTTCGACGCTCGAAGTCTACTGTCAGCGACAAGGAGAAGAACGCAGATGCGCCAAGTTCTACTCCAACCAAAACAGAAGCTCCACCTACTGACCTGCTCAGCCGGTGTTACTTCACCTGCCTCAGCCTCACTGCAGCGGGTTTTGTGCTTGCACTTTTGGGTATCATGTCTTACGCCTGGACAGCTCTGGAGCAAGCAGTTGGTATCTTTACGACGGCATGTCTTGGTGTGGCTGTAGGAGCTGGGATATGGGCCATTCGTTAGACGAATGAAGTTTGGACATTCTTGGTACCCTTCGTAATGCTGTCTGGTTTTTATTTGTTGCATGACCCCTACGAGAGACGGAGGCTAACGATGTTTTGTACATGTATACGATCGGCGAGTTTAACGATCCAATTGAGATGAATTATGACTTACATAGAAGCTTTTGTACAGTATCACGTAACCTTGCACGAAATTTTGCTGTTCTTGATCCATTACGCATCATTCATCGTGATTGGTAAATGTGATACTGACTTAAAAGGTCTAATTGACAGGAATGGTGATGATTGAAGGTCCCAGTCTGGACAGAATCTAATCACGCTCTGCACGACGATCTTACAGTAGATGTGAGTTATCATCTATGTGTGTTCTCACTTATAACATTTTCCCATCATCGAAACCATCTGTCTGCAGTCTGTCTCTCAAGAGCTTCCTGGAGAGAGTTGAATTTAAATTTCCAAGAAAAACATAGCTAGGGGAGCCACATAAGCGTAGCTATTGCTAAAGACGGATGAAGCAGGTACAGCAGTGCTTCCATTCAATGACCAAGGTAAGTTTCTCGCATTCTTCGAGGTACTGCCCAGCGAACTAACAACTAGGATAGGCACTATCTTCTATGCCCAGGAGGTAGACGTCAATCAGGGCTCCAACGTCACATGGAGACGGGTGGAACACAACGATGGGGGACTGCTGTGAAGCAACACACCACCCATGGCTGACCGACAAATGTCTGCTGGTTGTACAATTCACTTGGGGCGAGTGTTTTATAAAGCGATTTCCCTCCTAAATAACCTTTCCAATATACGAGTGCGGGAAGGCCGAGAGTATTTTCGAAGATGATGTGAGTTTGAATGCCCCCATTAACATAACGATGAGATACCTCATTCGATGTTGGATGTTGGAAAGGGCTGCAGGTCACCCAGGCCAAGGGAGGCGGCAATTTTATGTAGAAGAAAGGCGTCAATCGCCACCTGAGCATAACGTGCTACAGGGTAGAAAATGGCCATGGATAATTGGTTGGATGTATTGTAGACCAACCACGGATGTCCGACATAGGTGGAAACTTCGAACGTTTTGCCTAACGAAAGTGTCTTGTACAATTTTCTCTGTCCCGTAAAATCAATCCAGAAAATCTCTACAGAGTTGTCGAGATAACTTTCGAACGTCACCCCGACGGAAATGCCCCAACTATAAGAGCGAAGATATGGCTCGTTTGAAGCCGGTAAAGGATCTAGAATAGGCAAGTTCGACTGCGCCTTCTGAAAACCTGGAAGGCTCCATTTGATCAGAGCGTTAGATTCCTGCTGCGAGGGGTAAAATAAAGTAATCGTGATAGTTTGGTCGCGGCCAGTGGAGACTAACCATGGGTGATTTACAAACGTCTGTTGTATATACGACTGCCTTGCGTTAGTAAGTGTTTTGTATAACTGTTCCTGCTCTGTGAAGTTTATCCAATCTATGCAGACAGTGATGTTATGGTCATTAACGAAGGTGGTGAAAGTAGCTCGTCCATATCATTATAACGGATATTCGAAGCTAATAAAGGAGAGATTAGAGTACTGGATCACCATTCTCGACCTGATCGTGAACCATGAGTATTTGGACGATAACCACTGGCAGACTGGATACTGACCAAAGTAACACCATTGACGGCGCTGGCAGCGTCGCTATATATGTTGTGAATGGTGGACATATATTGTGTCACAGGACCAATGTTGATGTGGTCGAAATATTCGGAAAACAAAACATGCGCAGACCCCGCACAGTCGTACTGAGTTGAAAAATATCATCACCGCCCACCAGCCAGGTTTCGCCTATAGCTATGTCGCATTGCCAGATATCGTCTTTGGCCCCTGATATCATAATCCACCTTACCTCGCTGTATGTATACTTAATGATAATTGCCACGCTGAAAGTATAGCGTGGTTGATAAGACCAGTTTCTTGGCAACCGCCGCCTTGTTCCCGATTTGGTGACGCCCTTTCCTAGTTGGGGTATTCTTGTTTTTCTTCAGCCACAACGTCAACGATCACTCGAGTGGTGCTTTTTCTCCTTCTTTTTCCATTTCTGCTCCCGCGTGATAAAACCCGGTAGCATTGACGAGCTATTTTGACCTAATCAGAGAGGTCGAGGGGAGGATGGAACAGGTACGAAGTTGTTCTGTGGGTGCAGTTCGCACAGCAGGTTTGGGAGTGATGCCAACGTTCAAAGGAACACCCAAATGTAGCCGTCCTTTTCATGTTGTCTTAGGTGGCAATGCTTGTCTCTGAGGATGACCTGAGATGATGGGTCCTGGGTTGTGCTAGAGGCTGTCTCGGAGGGCACTCTTATAAACAGACCAGTTAAATACAAGAGCGGTATAGTTCTGCACTACATCTTCAGCTCTGGTCAGCTCTCTGATTATTGGCACTTGCATCACCAGCAGTAGCACCCCCACCTCAATATCTCACCTCAATATCTCACCTCAATATCTCGATCGAAGTCCACCAAAATGTTCGGAAAAGCCACTTTCATTTACTTCGTCGCTCTTTTCCTTGGCTATAGTGGGTGTTCCTATATATTCACCGGAAATTAATTAACATCTTCATTCTACAGTGACTCTCCTCGCTTCATCAAGTCCCGTACCATTTGTGCTCCCAAAGCAAGATATCTCAGCCTCCTACCAACATGACGGTATTATTGCTGTATGTTCTTCCCTCTTCACGTTTCAAAGTCCTACCTGAATGACTGCAATATAGCGTGAGCCTGAGCTCCCTATATTCGTAAAGCGCGAACGCTACTCTGTGCCCAATTATGCGTACGAGAGTGCTCAAATTGATACTGAAGAGTCACGTGAAGTTAAAGCAGAGGATCTTGATAACGTGCCAAGAGAGGAAGACTTGGAGGAGAGAATATGTCGTTTCGGCTGCATCTAATTGAGTGCAAACTACGTGAGCATTCTCCCCAAGTACTTATTCCAATTTGCTTAGCTTGGTGATCTCGCAGAATGCTTTCGCTCACCCTGGCTCTGACCCGTAATGTGTTAACGAATCGCACTAACGGCTCCGTGCTGTCCATTCATTCGTGTTAACTTGACGTAACGCCCGCTACGTTGTCCGCTCTTTATTTCGACCTTCATTCCGGTTCTCGGTAGACCAGCTTGGACCTAGACCGTTGAGGACACTACTCCTATTCCTTACTCTGTGCAATCCGCTTGCACTTGCGTACTTGATGCTCGCAGTGCTAGTTTATTGTTGACTGCTGATATACCTTTCGTCAGAACCGTCAATTTTCTTTACCAGTACCAACTTGAAGTCTCATCAATCTTCGTTCCATTATCAGAATCCAGATAATAATTAATTTCTGTCAAGATGGCAGAGATAGTTTCTGTAGCGCTATACGCCTCTGAATATATATCGTGAAACTATAATCTGCCAGCATCGAATATTTTGCTTTTTGAATGGCTACCCATAATGTTTTCTATAGTGAAGCTCGGGGAATTCGGACATAGCCGGCGGATGGAGATTTTCAAGTTTATGCCATATTTGGCAAGTCTTGTATTCAATTCGGGGAACTCCCCTTCGTCGTCAACCGATTTCCACTCGCATGTGCTCACTTCCTTTTTCCGCTAGCACGCTACTTCTTCAAATCCCACATAAACTTAAATCCCTGGAAACATGTCGTAGCACATCAGATAGTTGGCAGCTTCGATAGCGCTGAAAACTAACGAGTTGAAAGGGAGTGCTTTCTTTGGACATGCTTTCTCGAGGTTTCTTACACCTTGGAGCACTGGTACCCTCTAACTCTGATATGAGGATGTCCACCACCGAGTACACGTTGGGCTGATAGTCTTGGATGATAAGCGGAACGTGTATACTGAATTCTGCTAGAGGAATAGCGTATATAAGAGAAGCAGGATGGTGCTGTGTTTCTCTCAAAGCACATATCACTCCTACAGTCTCATTGACATACACTGTACTCACCGGACAACGTGCATAAATTCCAATCCATCAATATCTAAAGCTTCTAAACATGTTCGCCAAAGCTATCTCCACCACTTACTTGATGGTCTTCGTCCTTGCTTGCTGTGCGCTTTTTCCTTTTACGTTCCCTTCTCAAAAATATTAAATCAGCTCTATCGCAGCCTGTCTATTGACATCTGCAAGTCCCTTACCCGAATCCAACAATAATGCAGTTGCTGTATGCCCTCCCTCTTCTCATGTTAGCCTGATCGCGATGCTGACTATATATGATACATAGCGCGAAAATATTGAAGTAGAAGTGGATGCCCGCGTCTGCCGCTTCGGATGCGACTGAGTTTAAGAGGTCCTCATCCAGCTACCCTAGTAAGTCTGAACTTGTGTATTTGACATATTTCCTTTCTGACCGGCTTCAAACAAGTTGCCTTGATCTATGTCGTGACCCCCTTTATCCTCTACTAATATCAGTAGTATCATCATCTACCTTTTCGTCGTATGTAGCCATCCCGACCTGTTAGACACTATCCTACCTTACCTCATTCGCTTTCGTTACTTAAGTTGATTTATTTGCTTTGTTTTGGTACATTGGATACCAAGGTGTAATTTATAGTATCTCAGAATTACTCGTGATTTGATTCTCATATCGCAGCATCAGCGGTGGCCTCATCCGCTCGACCACAATGAGCCCAGTAACCAGGTAATGTAGGGTGAGGCGTGAAGAGGTCGCCGGTTGCATAAACTTCGACACTTCCCCTTTTGGTGTTGGTTACAACGGGGACATGGTAGGCATGAGGCTGAAGTGAAAATAGGCTACGGTCAGAATTCGACGAAGGGTATACTATTAGAGAGAACGCGAACATGGACGATCAGCTCCGCGCTCCCTTTGTCATTGAATACACACTCAGTTTTCATGAGTTTAGACATGCGGATATACTGCCAGTCCTGAGAAGAAACCTCTGCGAAACGAGTTCGGAGACGAATTTAGAGAGAAAATAATTACTACATACTTGGTAAGACAGCGCTGACAATACCGATATCTGCGCTGCATGACGAAAGTCAGGGACTACCAGTAGGATCAACAAGATCTTCACTTGCCAGCCGAAAATTTTGAACAGAGAAACGCCAGTTTTACTTAACTCATGCCAATTTCTTGAATTCTTGATTTAAAGAACCACCGAAAAGCTGCCGGGTCGCGTTATACATACAAGTCTTCATATTGACACCAAACTCACCACGCCCTGTTTCTTAGAGAGCCGGTTGACATAGCCTTTGTTCTCGTGCCATGCCTCGTATACTTCTTAAGTAATCGGTCTATCATGCCAGTTGTGACTGTCCTCACCTCCAAATAACTAGGATCACAAAAGATGATATCGCTTTGAGCATCCACAGCGTGTATGAAGATATTGTCTAGCGTGGGTTCAATCGCAGGTGTCTTTGGCTCATACACTGTCATAATTACGCCCGTCGAGAGCTTGGTATGAAGTTATCGAATCATTACTTCGACGACACAATGAGAAAGTAGAGGTGTACCTGTAGCAATGACTGGAACATGCATAATGTATGGAACAGCGACCTGCCAGGAGACGCGGCCCACTGTAAGAGATGCAAATGAGTCTCGAAGATTGGTTTGGGATACGATATGGAAGCTGATATGTGTAAGTGATGGTCACACTAAGCAGAATCATAGTATCTCCCAAAGAAAGGCTCACCAGACGATTGGAGTGTGAAAGCACTAGTTTCCAAGGATGATTTTACCGCCTGAGATGATTTTACCGCCTGACGTGGCAAATCATCGTCTACATCTTCGTTGATACCAATGTATAGCTTGTCGACAGAGGGCACTTACGTGCAAATGAGGCAAATGGTCTCCACTGCGCCGAAGCAACTCTGTAGCAGCAGCTGCAAGGTCATGAAATTCCCTTTCAGCTCCAACCATTATATCCGTGACTTGGGCGACACGAATGAGATGTGCAACTGTTTCGAGAAATTTTCGTGGAGACATTGGGAAAGCTGTGTCCCACATACGCTATCCCCATAACAGCTGCATAATACGATAGTGTCTGCTCATATCACGTTTGCATGTTGAATGCCAGTCCCCGCATATATTGAAGAGACGTACCAGCCGTAGATAAGATAGCTATCACTGGAATACGAGGTGATGACATGGTGTTTACTGCCTCGATACATGAAAGGGTTATTTTACCAGCCTTGCGTATAGCACCGACATAGCACCGACAACGAGTGGCCACAGTACGATGCTAGTAGTACGGTCTGCAGCGTACGGGAAGACGGAAACATGATGATTCGGGGAGTGGTCATAATACCAATCCAACATGTCTGTAATAGTGAGAGAACCGCCTAAGGCCGGGAGTTTGAACGACTCGCTATCCAGAGCCTGCGTCTCCGGCAGTTCAGGAAAAGGAAAGATCACATAGTCGGGGACGTCCAGCATGGTGGGAATAGTTTGAAAGGGAAAGGCAGTTCTGACCTACTGTCGTAGGTCAGGCTAGACATTTATATACTGTGTTCTCAAGTATTGACGCTGAATCAGGCCGATTGAATGAAATCATCAGATGCATAGGGCGTAGCCAGGACTAGAAGGGTTGTTGCTACTCACACCAATGGGATGGAATCTCAACATAGTGTTTAGATGAAGGCACAATAATCGTGATGGACTCTGTAGGAGCTTAGCATTGCGTATGATATACGACGACCTTGCCTCGAGAAGTTGTGTTCCTTGTACTGACAAAGTACTGGAGCGTAGATGAGTGTAAAAATCGCATGTAGGCGCTAGACTTTGGGCCGTGCATTCAAACGCCGTTGAGTAGGTAGGTAGCAGGAACAGGCTTGTCACGTCCATATGCTCTGGCACCATGGTCGAGCAGAAATGGGATACGACTTCTTCGTTCTTGTCCTGGAGATGATCAGTCACTGACTCAGCACTGTCCATTGGAAATGAATTCAGGAACAGCATGAATGTATAGTTTCATGCTACTCCTGGACACAAATCCACGAACTTGAACGTCAGAGGTTACACCGTGGTACACTGATGAGAGGCCACCTGAACAAGTGGAGCAATTGAGAACGTTGCTCGACAAGAAAATGTATCAGCGATATCATCTCTTTGAGCAAACATACGCGGAAGTGGAACATGGAGAGAGAGGAAAAGGGAGGTGAGGCGTGAATGTGAACGTGGACACTGTATATCTAAAACACGAAATAAAAGCTGAGTGAGTGGGAGGTACAGCCTGTGAGAAGATATTTTGCACACATTATGGTAAACCTTCTGCTCGAACTTCCTACAAGTTAGATGTGATTGAATATGCTAAGAAAAACTTATGATGGTACCACGCACCTGTGAGAAATATTGAAAATCAAGCCAGTCTTGAGATGCGGGAACATTCGCGGCAGTGAGCACCGGAAAGTGCATTATACTTTCTATCACACAAGTTGCCAGTGCAAGATGGAGAACAGAATCAAGATGCGATAGGCCGTCCGGCGGTAACACAGCGTAGCGACCTTATTCCCAAAAAGGCAGGTGTGTATTCTTCACTCCTCCGCTTACACCGCGATACAAGGGGAAAGCCAAATCAAGCCAAAACTGCCGGTTCAAGCACTTCGCGGGGCTGGCTAGTTTACTTGATAAACAGGGCCAGAAGGCAGAGAGACAAACGCCAGCCCAAATGCGGTCGTCCAAGGTAGTGCCCAAATCTGGACGTTTCTTTGCTGGTCTTACCGCTTTCAGTAGGTTCAAACGCTCGCATAGCTCAATTTACTGATGCGAGTAAACGTGCACAACGATGGGGCAGGCTGATATAAAGACTAGGTTGCGACAGGAGTGACTCAACAGCTTTTGTGCTTATTGTTCTAAACCTCGGTTCCAGTCTCTTTCTATCGAGTATCTTTAGGACTTCCTCTTCGACCTCTTCTCCACATAACCTTTTTCGATCACACTCGATCATTATATCGACTCCAAAAATGTTCGCCAAATTCACCATCGTCTACTTGATCGCTCTCTTGGTTGCATTCAGTACGTCCTTCTCTATCTTACCTGCCATGCAGCAGCAGCTTACCTATGTATCCTCTGTTCAGTGACTGTCTGCGCCTCTGCATCCCCGATCCCTAACCAGGAATCAGCACCTGCTGTCCGCTACATCAACATATTCCATGATGTTTCCAATAATGTGGAAATTGTTACCGTATGTTTTCCCATCACTCGTTATTTACTTTGTTTCAGCTGCTCATCTGTTTTTTTTTCAGCGGGAAGAAAACTCCGAGTCTATCTCAGAACCAGAGTCTGAATCTATTGCGGAGCGCGAGCCACCCGTCGAGGCTGATGTCGAAATAGAAGATATCGACGAGCGTATTTGCCGCTTCGGATGCATCTGAGCAATCCACCCCCTCACACTCCTCTTGCGCGCCCCTCCCATCAAATATCTATCTACCACGCGATCCCCCACGCAGCTCGCTAATTTATCACGTCTTTCGTATTCTCTTGGATATCTTGATTACCAACTAACCTCCAACGTGCGACATCCACTCCCTCTCGCCTGATCCAGCTTGATGCGAGGATCTCATTCCGAAGTCACCATCTTGTCTCATCAACTTTTACCGTGTATTATTCCGGATTTCTCTTTGTATCGAGTGTTACTAGAGTGTGCTTGTATTGTTATTACTATCATTGGGCCTCAGTAGATTGTTTGTATCATATAGTCGTCGACTCTTACACCTTTTCGGATTCTGTGATACCTAGCTAGTAATATGCATCGCTACTAGGTAGACTCTGAAAAAAAAAATACATATCGCCTGTGCTTTATTGTAAGTGAACATCCACTCATTGCTTATAGTGTTATAAGACGTGGGTATAGCAGATCCGTTTACTGGAGGGTCTGACTGAGTATAACCAAAGCTGCAATTGGCGGAAATACTACAGTAAGTACTTCGCCTAAAAAGTAAACTTCACTATGGTAAAATAGGAAGTCGGTGAACCGACACAAAAATGACACCTCTATCACGCACAAGACTGTCCCATCATTCGCTACGCAGATACATTAGTGAAACTGGCAACAAACCATTTACATTTGACTTACCCAGTATTTGTTCTACCTCCAAAGGACCTCAACGGACCACCATATTTGAAAAAGTTACCGGGAACTTGAATAAGCTCGAGCTTTGACCAGTAAACCGACAACCACATATAAGAAGCCATGCTTCAGTGACTGTAAGGATGTGAAGGTAAAACGGAGCATCTCGACGATGAGCCAATAGGCCACCCACCTGAGTAGTACTTCAAGATAACTTGAACTACAGAAAAGTGGAGTAAGTCATGCAACATCTACCCGGACAATGACGTGCGTATGAACACGTCGTTGTCCGAGTGGATGAAGCTGGCTTAAAACCAGACAAATCCGAAGTGCCAATGAAATGAAAATAAAAGCAAGACTTCAACTTTTACTAAAAGTCTGAGACGGAATGAACGGTGTAACGGGGAATATGCAAATTTAGGACTCTGGAATTGAGGGTTTTATATAGTGTGCAAGCACGCCATCCTGTACGCAATTGCTGAAAACCATGGCGAACGTCCAAGTTGCCGCAATCGATCGCTAACACTTCGCTAACTTGATGTAGAAGCACTTTACTCAAAACTCGGAGCGCCACCGACGTTATGCGTCAAAAGGTCGTCCCGCGCCGCCATTTTTCTTTTTTTCTTTTGGCGCGCACACTTCAGATTCTGCTTGGTAATTGGGGTTTCAATTAACCACACTGTAAGTACCTTCACAGTGATGCGATAAGTCAGTCGCGTTGGGAGACATGAAGGTTGTATACTTTGACTTATCGGGGACATGTTCATTCCAACCTATGTTTCTGAAAAATCTCCAATATTTTTAGGCCACTTTTATGTTGCTGGAAGACAAGCTACACTGTTTAGCGTTCAGTTATACTAACCCATTTAGGTTTTCTCAAGTGTATAATATAAGTAGTAATATCCCACGGGTTCTATTATTAAGCAGAATCCTAAGTGTTCATTAAAAAAATTATCGATACGCTATCAATGCGTCCGCAGAAGTTTGTCCGTCGATCTTCGACTCTATCCCCGGAGGACAGTCAGAAATCACATGGAAAGTGGTAGCTACGCACGGAACACCCAATATTAGCTTTCCAATTCTATAACAAACAGAAATGAGCCAGTACATCTAGTATTAATCTAATAGTGAGAAACAAGCTCCCGAGATTCAAAACGTCTACAACATGAATGCATATCTAATCTAAAGGAAAATAGAGAAAAGAAGAGAAAAGGCAAAGACATGACTCTCAAAGCTTACGGCCACTTCCAGACCTCATGACACGTTGCCACCAATCTCCGGGACCACTGGCACTGGCAATAATCTCGTTACCCTCCCATTCCTTCGCCCAAGCTCCATAGGTGCCCTCCATCACCCAAACTCTGCTGTCTTCATCCCTAATTTGCTTTATCTCACTCCAGATTTCGCTATCGCGCACCCCTACACCAAGGACATATTGTTCATTCTCGTCACTCGCCTTGGCGCGGAATGGGAATACGACAACAACTAGCATACGCAAGTCGCGTGAGCATGCCAGCATTGCACGCACAGCGGAGAGAAAACATAGATCGTTGTCTGCATTAGCATGTGCCCGTCGTGCTAAAGCAGCATGGGTTAGGTTTGGGAAGAGTGAGACGAGCGTATGCGGGGTGTGCCACATCAGCGACGGCTCACAGATTCGTAAGCGAGTGATATGGGTGAATATGGGCAATGAGACAACAGAAGACGAAGTTGGGGCTGGAGAAGAGGCGCGCGAAGGGAAAGGTGTGTTGGGAGGGGTAGGACGCCATTGAGGTAAGGCGGGGAGCTGCGATCCCGCATCTTTGGGTTGCGTGAGGTCCGCGTACGAGCTTATAACCAACTCGGTTGGGCTCGGAGACGTGGAAGCAATTGGAAGGGAGCGAGGAAGGGAGCCGACTTCACAGATAGATGTAGCTAACCCGACAGGCAATACGATGGTCTGAACACCACTGCAAAGTTCAATGATACGTGCAATCTGGTGAACAAGGGGGCCCCTCCCAGGAAGGTAGGTGGTAAGGGTTATAGCAAGACGCTTGACAGTGGTTTGGAGGAATGCAGATGTAATGTTTGAAGGAGCGCGGATAACAGGCCGGCGATGTCCCGGTGGTACAGTACGAACACTGAAAGCATTGACGTCGATAGACATCACGGTGCGGAGGAAAAGGAACACCGCGTGCAGAGTTGCGAGTACGACGGTGCGATAGAGTATGACATTAGTGTGTGCAAGGATGCATCTTGAAGTGAGCGCTAGGTTGGCGAGTGCGCTTCTGTCACTAAGTAGAGCAAGCTCAGAGATATTGAGGATGAGCTCCGTAGGAAGAGTAACCAGGCCTGGAGGACGTGCCAATTTTGAGCTTACAGCCATATGCGAGGAATTAGAGTAACGGATGTAAGGTAAATGGGCGTAAATTGTGTCAGCAAGAACGACGGTATGTGCGTATTCAAGCCAAGTTGAATATTCGGAAACGATGGCGCTTTAGTAGCGTCGTATTGTATGATTGTCGCGCGACCTCAGAGACGTCGCCAACAAAAAAATTGCGGTTGGTATGATGGTTTGGCTGAAAGATTACTCGGGTTACACTGCCAGTGGTACGCCGTAGTGGTCGGAGTCGGGTTGTAATCCTATAGTAATAAAAATATAAGGATACTTATAGGTTTCCTCAGAGATTATGGACCCTACCGTTGATGTATGGACGGGAAGATGTTGAAGATAAGGAGCATCAACTAAGGCGAGTGGAGGTTCATGATATGATATCCGTGACGGCTGTCCGAGCGAGTCCGTATAATCGGTTAAGAAATTTCAGTGATAAAAGACGTGATTGGCAGGCCAAAGCCGAAAGCCATTGTCATGACGCGGCGCTTGAATTACCCCAGTCGGACATTCATTTGAGTCTACTTTTATCCGCGAGTGCAAGTGCCACTTGACGTTTCTACTTGCTTGTGTTATCGATATTGATTCACTTTCACTAACATTTAACTTCCTACAACTTCCTATAAATTGAGTTTTCTTGCTGAGTACCGTGTCTGTATCTGTCCCACCAGCAGTACCAGTACTTGTGATAATGTGATCCTATCACAAGTTCTGACAGGTAACATCGCTCTGCAGCTTTTAGCAGATCGAGTCTGACTCGAAGGCATTAAAGCGCCAGAAGCTATCTGCAGTCACCGTTGACCAACGGGTATACTTATCTGCCATAGTCGATCTAGTTTGCTCAACCGTAAGTATTCCCCGTCTATCAGCAGAAATCAGAAGACTGATCAATTAAAGATCCAGATGCAGGAAACCATTGCAGAGGATACACACGCTTTATCCTTCATGGCAGACAGGGATGTAGCTAGCTACCAAAATCAATGCTCATGTTTGCGACGCTGTGATAGCGAACAAGGAGTCGCTGCATTCCGATCTCCACTTCAATTTTTGGCAGCTGAGGCGTGCCCTGCAGTCGTTTAGTTTCTATCAAAGCATATCACACGAAAAATGGGAACGGTTTGCTGTTCTAGGCAAAAATGCGAAATTGCTAGAAAACATTTTGAGCAACCATAACAGATCTAGATGACCCGACTACAGCCATGATTGCCCATGTCGTCAGTGACTTCATTCCAGCTGAATATTGCTCCAAGTGCGGGGGGGTCAAGTTGATGAAGAGATAAGTCCTAACAGTGCATGATTCTCGGCTGCTTGCGATATAGCACTTTCCAAAACACTAGTTTTAAACGCGTCGGGAGTGTTATATCCTGCGATGATCCTCTCATCATGATGTGTACGTTACGTAGGAGTGGTTACTCATGAATATGAATCTATTATCTATTTGGGCTAACACCCCATGCACGACGTCCAGTTTGCCAGCAATAGCTAATATGACATTTTCAACAACGAACTGGTGGGCATATATTTATGCCTGCTTCTTCATAAATAGCCACAGTCATAGATATCCTATAAACTATATAAACCCTTGAAAACATAAAAATCATTTGACCACGATCATGATAGGCTCTACCCCAACAGATATATCGTTTATGCCTTTCTCGACCAGGCGACCTTGCCTTTGATCCAAGTGCTCATCACATTGCCTCCCCTGTCAAGGACAACCAGGTCAGCGTCAGCACCAGCGCGCAAGGTCCCTTTCTTGTTCTCAATTTTAAGACATCTGAGAGGGGAAAAGGGAGTGAGTAATGTGTAGTGCAGCAACTCATGGAGAAAATTTCTACTTTGCCGGATTGAACGTCGCGCACTTGATAGCCTCGCCCAGGGAACATCCGGTGAAACGCGAAAAGTTGCGCACACATTTGTCAAGAGTGACAACACTGCAAGGATAGTGAGTCAGGCTTCAAGGGTGAGATTATCTACATCATGCTTACCTTCCAGCGAGGGTGGTCGTGCCCTCTAAGTAGAGCTTATCGCCCTCCTTCACAAACCGCTGTCCATCTCGCCATTCGTGTATACCATCACGCAGGTTGGGATCAAGTATTTTCATGGCTAAAGAGTGTCAATATAGGTGGGCACCACTGTAAGGCGCAGTATCACTTACCATCCGTGATCAAAATACAACCCTCGGGATAGGCGGAATACGCCAGCTAGGAAAGGTCATTCAGACCATCGAACGAGTGAAACATAGGTGTAAAAACCTACCCGGACCGAGTTGGGATGTGAATGAATGCCATCCACAATCATCTCATAGAACGGCCTTTCAAAGGCGAGATCGGCGACGAATCCTTTATCGAGGTGTAACTCCCCGCGACTAAGCTGCCTGCTTTCTGAGTTAAGAGGAAGCGGAGAAATTGATCCACTACTCGCGAGTGAAAGGGACTGCAAGTGAGGACGAGTCTGTGTGTGCAAACGCGACTGAGAGATGGACTGAGTGGCGAGCAACATTGGTGATTGTGGAGGCGTCTCGGTATCATCGAAGGCCTCGGACGTGTGTGGTACGATACCGGGAGAGCTCACTTTTCTGGTTACGGAAGCAGCATGTATGGTAGCTCTCAAGGCGTTGACTGTGGAAGTAGGGAAAGGCGAAAAGGCAGAGTAAAGGGGAGATGATAAGTGTGGGGAAGCACCCAAAAGGCCAATGATAGATGGATCACGATGATGCAACTGAGGCATGGCATTGAAGAGATGTGTGATGAGACGAGCACCATTTTGAACTGCCATAGTTGCGACGTCGGTGGTTGCAATACTACATATCATGGAGGTGAGACAAATTATGCATACGCCAAAGCACTAGCAGCATACCTGTGACCGATGGAGAACACAACACCTCTCTTGCTTAACTCTCCTACAGCATGCATAACGCCTTCGATCTCTGGGGCAGCAGTCACGATACGAACACCGACAGATTGCTCGTCCACAGAACCAGCCATGAGCCAATCTTCGGCATCCGCAAGGTTGGGTAAACCATATATGTCCTCAAATGATTTGAAGCCTTGGGTTGCAGGCAGGAGGAAAGGAGGAGCGTGCGCTCCACGTTTGGCAAGGTCGAGGAATGGTCCTTCTGCATGCCAGCCCAAAAGATGAGCCGAGTTTGGTGCTGAATAAGGACGTAAAAGGTGTAGCAGCTTGGGATAGAGAGACTTCTCTTGTGTCTGGGAAAAAAAGAAGTCAGAAGGTGAATGCACTGGTAGATAAGGCGCGTACGATGATAGTTGGTACTAGGCTACGAGACAAGTATTTTCAGGTGGAAGTCCTTGAAAGAAAGTTAAAACATACGCAGTAACTCCTGTTTCAATGATTTTCTCTGCAACCAACTTCATCCCATCTCTATATATTTGATCATCGCCGTCGTAGACTGAGAAGTCGAAACCATAGCCTCCATTGATTTGGATATCTATGAACCCTGGGCTAAGAAGAAAATATGTTTAGTCACTCACAATATCATTGAGGGATAAAAGTGGGAATAAAGCAAAGGACTGCAACTTCGAGATAGAGCCAGCGAGTTTTCGAAACGAGAGGCATTTATCCGCGAAAAGAACATACCTGAGGATATTTCCACCTAGATCGATGATCTTATCAGGTCTCTCTTTCCTCAAGAAAAATGTGCGCTAAGGAGCGAGAGTGTGGAAGTGAATTATGTGGTCGGTGTTGGTACAGAGCAAACACACCTGAGCGTCTAAAATGACTCCGCGCCGCTCGTCAATCCAAAGATCTTTTTGAACAAGACTGCCGTCCTCCTGGGGCAACAGACAGTTTGTAAAGCATATCAGCCCGTTGGGAGATTCAGATGCCATCGAGGGAGGTGATGATTGGACGAAAGCAAGCTGCAGCTCCTATTCCACACTGGAAAATGATGGCGAGGCCAGTGCTGGCCATGGGCCCCTTGAAGCATATGGTATTTGCCTTCATTCCGAGTTGAGCATGTGCTCGACTCGGACGCTCGTGTGTCTCACACTACACGCCGATTGGATGTCGGATTCGGACTGTCTACCGCACGACCATGCCTTCTAGTCACGCCCAGATCAATCATACATTTGAATCAAGTTTGGGCCTTTACGCTAGGTTACATTTCAAAGTAAATCTTATATACACAATCCGAGATCCGATAGCAGAGTAACTGTTCCGGGGGCGTCTATCATGTAAGACCACACTAGGTCTTGATGATACGTTCGATGATCTCTTGAGCAGCCAGAGCCAAACCATCATTGAATCGGCGAGCGATAACTTGCAAGCATATTGGAGCTCCAGTAAAGATCTCAGGGTCGTCTAAAATTATGGTCAGCGACTAAATGATCTGCAAAACGTGGGGTAACGCACAAAGTGCTTGGTTATACTCGTCAGCCTGGCTCATGGGCTTGACTCCATCTCTCGTTATGTCAATAGACGGATCGGCCTTGAGACCAGTGGGAAAAACCACACCAGGGTAATCTAAGATGTTCCATATCGCTGTATAACTGAACTTATCTAAATCACGATTGTACTCCAGAACATAGTTGCAAATAACTTACCCCCAATATCTTGCAGTATCATGGCGATTCGCGGTTCCAGGAAATGGTGGGCACACAAGGACATCGAGACCGTAAACTTGCCAGTAATCTGAGTAGCTTCGCCTGTATTTGTCACGCTTGTCGTGCAACTAAAACACGAGAAGGATTACAAGAAGGGACAGAGACTTCTCAAAGCACTTACCTCCCACATCTCAACTGCGTTATGACCTTTTGTATGCGGAGGGCTGATTACCCATTCTGTAAGCGGGAGGATGTCTTCACCACCTTCTGCCAGTAGTCGGCGTAATGTGTCGCCATTGTCCTCATAATACATCTCTCGCTGCATAATCTCAGTCTTGAATACAACAAGAGAGCTAGATGGGGACGTACGGTTAGACTATAGCCCTGATCGTGATCGAAGGGTATGTAGTCGACAACTTCAATGTTTGGAGCAGCTTGAAGCTTGGCTTTGACAAGTTCAAGGGCACGAAGCATGGGAGGGTGTGGCATCACTACTCCATCATGCATCATGATGCCAACACGAAGCTTCCTTTGGCTGAGGTCTGGATTGGATAGAGGGACCGGGATTAAATTGGGATCCAATAGGGATGGCCGTGCACCAAAGACTGCATTTAAGAAGAACCTCATATCCCTGGCTGAGCGGCACATGGGACCCGTAGATGCAAGAATTCCGTCTTGGCCATCCTGACTGATGGAGAGATAGCATCGAGCGTCAAAGCGAAAAGGCGTTGTGATGAAGTGCTATACTTACTACCAAATGTAGTTATTCATAGGCATTGTTTTGGATGTAGGTCGAATGCCGTATAAACCACAGTTGGAACATGGGCCACGAATAGATCCTCCACCATCGCTGTGATTACTCTGTCAGTGATTGCACTGCTAAAGGAAGGTCTGACTTACCTTCCAACACCCATACATGATCCCTTCATTGCCAATAACGCCGCTTCCCCACCTGATGATCCACCCGAAGTAAGATTGCTGTTGTGGGGATTAAGCTGGGACACTTGATTAGCGTGATTGTGAAATTGGTGGGAAATGGATGTCTTACAGTGCGTCCATAGAATGATTGCGATTCCAAATGCATTATGCTTTGCGGTTGGTTCGTCTTTACATAGAACACTATCAGATACGAAGCAAAGATGAGCGCCTAGTCAGAACGTGTATCAAAGTTAGATCTACCAGCTCCAAGACTTCGTAGAATCCTAGTCATATCACAATCTTCTGCTGAAAGTTCCACGTTCGAAAGAAAACCGCCAGAGCCCCACCTTCCCCTAACAGGAATGTGATCCTATAACACTATCAGTGAACAGCTCTCGAGCTAACGATGGGTATAATACCTTGATCGAAATTGGTAGTCCATGAAGAGGTCCAATGACTTTACCCTCACGCTTGAAATACGCATCCAACTCTTTGGCTTGAGCAATTCCCTCGTCTAAGAAGTAGTCTGTTAAGCAAGCAGTGACCTGGTGCGCGATAGCTGCTCGCTTCCCGAAGGCTACGACGGTTTCCTCTGCTGTCAGCTCTCCCTTTGCAATTTTTTCGCATACTGCTGTTGCGTCTAACTCAGTGATAGCGAGCTCAGCAGGAGTCAATAAACCACACGACTCTGGAATGCTTGTCACATCCAGAGGAAGGTTGTCTAGCACAGAGACTGGAAGACGAAGAGAAATTGGTATCTGTGATTCGAGCCTTTCTTGATGGGCGCGTGCTTGGGCAGTGAAAGATGCATTTCCAGTCGCGCCGCGCGTCTTCTCCTTCAAAGACATGCTGGGCTTTGCGAAAGTTTGCTATGGCCATTGAGTTCCTTATCAATGCAAATGAAGCCTGTTATCGAACAAACAAGTTTAGCGGAATGTACGTACCTTTTTAGAATACTCAATACATGTCAAGCACCAAAACAAACTCACACGAGTACCTGGTCACAGGACCTTGTAATAGATATTTGTAGGTTATCGCTGGGCGAAGTTATCGATATGGCTACACATGCTGCGGGGCATATCTCAAGCTGGCTTCGATGGGTGGGAAAGGAGTCTGATACCAAGCAAGGCAGAAGGGAAGGTAGGTCAGGTGGAAGGCATACAAAAAATTCTTGACGATACAGTATGCGGGTATTACGAATGGGAGTGGGCAACCACTGCAAACCAGCTGTGATAGTTATGTAACTTCTCGGATTCCTGCTGCAACTGATCATTGGTGTTATGAAGACCCTCCTCCGCATATTCGAGCTGCTGAACATTGGCCAAGGCAGTGCGAAGATGCTTGACTTCGCATCCTTGAGTTATTCTAGGTTGTGGAGCATCATTCAGTAGATGGATACAAGACGTAACTTGAGCATTCTCTTTGTGAACAGCATCTTGAACCAGTCCGAGTCTGCAAGAGCTGCGAGCCCTTTTTAGGCTATCCTTTCGAGCCTGAGAACGACATCCGTTCCTCCTTAGGGATCTAGCCTTGGCCGTCTAACCTGGCTGCCTGATAGGACCCAAAGTGAGTATCCCTGGTATAAAAGTTGATTGAAATACTTACTGGCAGTACTAGTTTTTGAAGTACCGGTCAACGTGTGCCGCGGCCTCGACTCAGGGGCTGTTTTTTGTGCTGTCGCAAATGGCAAATTACTCGGGCATTATTTGGGCGTTACCTAGTGTTTCGACGTGAATTTGAAAGTGCGGTGCACCTAGGCCTATAACTATACGGATCCAGGAATAGTGACAGAGCAGATGGAGAGCTATTTGTTGATGCATGATGGCGGAGAAGGCGGAGATGACCCAAGTTCGAAGCTGATGTGGCAAAGGTACATAATTTCAATCTTGAAGCTCAGGCCTCAGGCTTGGTGGCGACCCCAAGGTGAATTCACAAATAGCCTGCTACGCGTTCTCAAGATATAGTAGATGCCCGGACGCTGACAGCCCAAGGTCGGTGTTTGTCTATCTCTGGACATGGATCCGATCATACTAGTATACTGTATATATCTGACATCATGATGTACTGCTCTTTCCAAGCCGTGACCCTCTTTATCCTTCCCACATTTCAAGATGTCGAGCATTGAGTGGATGTACGTACCCCACTCATATCACTGCAGGCCCACTTATCGTCAACGTCGAACAGCGATGGGCCAATGCTGGTTGGCGTGTTTTTCAACTGTATTTTATTCGGAGTAAGTCATCTATCTATTGAATGCAGTGTTTATTCTGTGCTGATCCCACGAGGATAGGTCATGGTCATGCAAGTTGGTTCATCACGATACCAACTTAAGGTTTGAGCTGACGGTTGTGGTAGGCGTTCATGTACTTCCAGACCTACAAAGCGTAAGTGAGGCTACTTTCCTCCCTCTTTCTGTAACTAATCGAGTGTCAGAGACCAAACTTGGATCCGCTGGTTTGTGAGTGCAGATTATTCCACGTAGAAATCACAATCTTGACCTTTTTCATTAGGTTTTTTACCTGATCATTGCTGAGACAGTAAACACGTGTTGTGATATGTATCTCATCTACCAGCCTCTCGTTCAAGAGTACAGTGAGTCTGTAGCGTGTATAGCCCTGCATTCGGTTACTCAAACTCCAACAGATACCTCTGCTGCTGTAACGTACTTCCCCATGAGTGAGTCTCTCCAATAATATTTATCGGCTCTGAGTAATATCCGGCATTCTAGTGCTCGCTGCATGTAAGAACTTTTACCTCAGGCTGTTGTTATCCATTGTATTGATTCACGTACCACCAATTAGCTCCCATTGTTACCGTGGGTGAAACTTCACCCAATCGAAGAATTCCGTAGCTCACATTAGTCTTGTACAGGTTTGCGTATCAACCCCTGTTCAAATATTCACAGCTTGGCGCATCAGCGTGGTCTCCCAAAGGAAAATAATGGCCATCATAATCAGCCTTTGTGCGTTACTCTCATTTGGTAAGTGTCGTTACCTCAAACATACGGTCCAGTGGTAATACAATTGAACCTTGGTAGTGGGCGCTTTCTGGGTGGGAGTGGAAGTTGTAACCTTCAAACTCTTTTCCCAAAAGGCGTCATTCCGATTCAATCTTCCTGCGGTGATATGGTTTACAGCCTCTGTAGCAGCTGACTTGTTGATTACGGTAACCCTGGTACTCAGTCTGGTTCGTGTGTTTTTTATGTCCATCTACCGAAACCCCCCAATAATATCACAATGTGACTAGTCGGCACGGAGGACTGGATACATGTTTACAAACGTATCCATCAATCGGATTATCCGTATGACAATCCAGACGGGTCTCACAACCCTGCTTTTCGCGATCGCCGATCTGCTCTCATTCACCATATCTCCAGTGAGTTATAATTTCTGTACTAATTTCCTCTGTCTCTTACACATTCTTCTCCAGCAAACAGCAGAGTTAGTTGCCGAAGTACTTTTTGAATTGATTTCAGACTGATGTCGGGTGTACTTGGCGTTTTGTTTCACAGAAACTTCGTCTGGGACTTTTCAATTTCAAAGCTATACACGAATGCCCTACTAAGTACACTCAATGCACGTGTTGGCTGGGGCAATCTGACCTCAGGCGATCGTGACCCAGAAAACGTGTTATTTGGCGACTCGACAACGGTACGTCTTAACTGTATATCCCAAGATATTGAATTATGTAACAAAGACTTTGTCTATAGCAAACAGGGTCGTATCCTTCCAGAAATTCCACGAGTAATGCGGGGGCACGCCGAAGGGTATGTGACTAGACATTTTTGTCATCCATGATTGACAGGATTGTGCTTGTATGCAGAATATTACCACTAGCACTGCTTCAGAAACTGTGGGCTCTTACGAGCTGCAACCGTCCAGTTTCAGGGGAGATGTCCACATCAATATCGTAAAGCATACTATCAGCGATTACACTCCTGAACTTCACGACAATGCGGTACAGGGCTACACCCAATGAGAGCCACCACAATTATATCCGAGTCACTCTGAACGCCGCGCACACGTTATATTCTCTTGAGAGTAGTTAGGAGAAGCGGTGAACTTGGGAGTATTGTATGTTTCAAAACTTTGGTAATTTTCATCGGATGTGTTCTCATTTGATCGTAATTCTTGTTTTGCTTTCTATCTAAGGTATTTTGAGAACTCATTTTACATATGTTTACGGACTCCTTGAAGGTTACGGACGTTACCCCACCTATGCCAACTAAATGTTCTCAATTGCCAAGGTGAGAATAGTGTCGGCTGTTGTGCAATTCTTTGGCATTGTCCGTGATTGCATCTCCACTATGTACGAGTCGCTCGCATTCTACAAAATTGCTGGATGCAGCGGGGAAACTGTTTTCCCTCTTTCCTTCGTATTTTACCGCCTATCAGAGCACTATGGCTATCAGGCTGGTTCCTCTCTTGCCCTGTGGTACTCAATAGGTGCGACATACTCTTGAACGCAGCTGAGAGCATGAGTGTGGGGAGTCTGGAGTATTCCATACCGTCCTCTCTCTCATTTGAGTTACGCCAACAAGGTCTCCCACGAGCCTGATTTAGAAATTCCGTGGAACTTCGTATATGGTCTGATCAAGAGCGTGATGGACCTACAAAGTTCTGAGAGCTGCCCCAACGAGGACAAGAGCGTTGATGGCAGGTGAGATCTTTCTGATGCAAGAAGAATGCGATGCACAATGAGTGACTAGTACTGTATGCAAAGGATCACTTATTGTCATATCCATGCCAGAAGACTGTCACAATCTCAAATTCCTATCTTATCAAATGATGATAATGAATCCACATTATCTATAATCCCTCCTGATCTTATCTTATCATAGTCACATGATCAATCACGTGACCTATGACATAGTTATTACAAAGACACTTACAAACACATGCCTTACACATGTTGCTTAGTCAGTGCCTCATTACCAGCCCATATAGTTATAATTGCCTGTCTTAGATGGGGCATTATTACCTGATAATATTAGTATATAGATGGGGCTAGCAGAGTGTGCCAGCCAGGCCATGTTAGACGTAATATTATTGTTCCCATCATCAACAACCCGGCTGGGTGAGACACTGCCCATCCTAGATGACTCGCCTGGGTCAGTACATTACAGGGTGCTCATCTTAGACGACCCAGCTGGGTGAGAGGACACCCGTCTTAGATGACCTGGCTGGGTCGCAAGGTGCTCGTTGAAGACAATCTGGCTGGGTGGTAGGTTGCCCTGTCTGAGACAACCTGGCTGGGTGGTAGGGTGCCCTGTCTGAGATGACCCGACTGGGTCACAGGGTGCTCATTGAAGATGACCCAGCTGGGTGATAGGGTGCCCCGTCTTCGACAACCCGGCTGGGTGAGGGTCTGTTCATTGAAGATAACCTGGCTGGGTCACAGGGTGCTTATTGAAGACAACCTGGCTGGGTGGTAGGGTACCCTGTCTGAAACAACCTGGCTGGGTGAGAGTCTGCTCATTGAAGATAACCCAGCTGGGTGCAAGCACACACACCCATTTTAGATGACTCGGCTGGGAGGGTAACCTGTCTGAGACGACCTGGCTGGGTGAGAGTCTGCTAGTTGAAGACGACCTGGCTGGGTCACAGGGTGCTTGTTGATGATGACCCAGCTGGATTAGAGTCTGCTCATTGAAGACCTGTCTGTCACCTTTTTGAGCATCATTTTTTTCTATTTGATGTTGGATATGCAAATATAATATCTCATAACTTCCAAATCTGGTGGTGTCTTTTTGCCGGGAGGCTCTCTAAGACTATAGTGCTTACATTATAGATTCATGGACATGCTTGAAGAACATGTTTCTGAAATGCAGTATTATATAATGTACTGACCAGTAATCATTTATTAGAGAACCCACATATATTTTTGTTGTCTACAGCAACATCATGAGTCCTCAGACCCCTAAGCCATCCATTCCCTCTGATATTCCTTTGAGCTGGAAATTGCTGTTTACAGAACTTGCAGCACAGTATGTGCTATTTCACTTCTGGCAAGCATTGATTTGCATGCATACTGAGGGGCCCAACCTCCTCCAGCCAGAGCCAGGATTCCAGTGGGACTGGAATGCAAAACTCCCGGGAACATTTGTTAGCAAATGTAAGAGAGTAGCTGGGGTGTTAGGAATTGTATACCTCACAAGGAGTAGGTTACTTGTATTGGATGTTACTGATAAATACCCGGGTAGTGAATATTCAATGGGATGTGACATTGTATGCAGAGCAGGTGAGCCCTTGTAATAACAGCAAGAATAACAAGCTTGAACAAAGTATATCTGAGGAATATCAACCTGCAAAAGATATTGGCATCATCACAGTCCCTTCCATTATAATGGGCATTCACAGAAGAATAGTTCTATGGTACCTTCTAGGCATCTTCACTGAGACAGGTGAAAATATATTTACATGGTCAAGCAGAATACATATATTGAGCTAATATATTTAGCAAAGCATATGTGATAGTCTACAGCATCTCAAGCAAAATATGGCAAATGCCCCAAGAAGCCCTCAAAGAGCTGGCTTCAATCTTCAGAATATTACAAAAATCCCGGGGACTGTCAGCTATTCCCTTGCGGGTTGACAGGCTTATCCCCGGTGTGGTTGCAACCTGGTCATGAAGTTTGTGTTATTGAGTTATAATCTTATACATTATAATTAATAAAAGTTTCACCACAGAAAATGTAACAACCAAGAGTTATTTACTCCGGCGCACACAGGAACACACTATAGAGAGAAAGAAGGAGGGATCACCCCTCAGGTTTTAGTGAGTTAATTGTGCTAGACAACAGGAGGACTCGCTGAGGAGTCTCCATGATCTATTGGGGTATATATACTACTACAGGGTTGTTTGTACATGTGTACTGTACAGTTGTAAATAAAGTTAAAAGTCCAATGTCTAGAATGTGACCTGTCACATGGTGAGCCTAGACCCTGATCAGGTGATGTGTCACATAACTGGTCATGTGACTATGAAAAGTCGAAAATGTAAAGTAAAGTAAATGGTCACATGACTGGTCATGTGACTTGGAAAAATGAAAAGTAAAGTACAAAAGTGAAGCATAAGTAGGTGCTGGTATGTCAATTGTAACAGAAAACTGGAGAGGCTCCACATGCTTCCCGGTCCTTGCGCAAATCTACACCTGCGGTGTCATACACCAAAAGTGATTGGTAGCATGGACAGGTGTCAAAAATAAAATGAATATTCAAAAGACTTGCCTTTGTGCCACACAGGCACAGTGCCATGTGGCATAGTAATTAATATTTCCTTTTTTGAACTTGTGGCTGATCAGCACCACCTCTATTAGGCAATTAAGTCGCGCTCACCTTTGCTTTCCATTTGGTACTTTCCGCTGTTGAATGATGAGAACTGCAGTTAGAAAACCACACACAAAACAAACTAACACACAATCCTCCCAGATTCCACGGAACTTGTTTATGGGCTTTGCCTCCTAGAACAGTGGAGTGATCTGGTTGTTCGTGGGGTGGTACGTATAAAGATCCTTCAAAGTAAAACCCAGAGGTGTATGAGTGTGGGTTTTGAGGAGGAGGGATAGTTGAATTTATAGAAGGATAGGGGCTTGGTGACGAGTATAGACGAGCACTACCTTGCTAATCGTAGCACAAGGTAGGTTTGAGAACGACAATATGACGAGGTTCCCAGTGATAGCAGGCTCCTGACGCACAAACTGTAGTGCTCAGAAGGACTCTAATCGAAGGGGATGACAATCACTTTCAAAAAGTGACGAGTGACGATGACAGCAGTTAACAGTGGTAGAAGTGGGAAGTGTTGTGACCACACTGGATCACAAGTAGTAGAGTAGTGAACTTGAGAGTAGAGAAGAAGTCTGGATTGGATTACTTGTTCTTTTTTTACAAGGTAAAATACAGGGGTTTATATAGTAAAAGAAAAGTAGGCTATGCACAGTATAGCTGTGCAAAAAGAATGAGAAAGAACATGAAGGAAGGAATGTATGCTGACAAATCCTGCGTAGGTAGTACAGGATAAGATTGTCAAAAAAAGGAAAAGAAAGAGATAGAACAATGAATGCTGTGAGTAATGTCACAGGTTTGTACAGCCATAAAGTAAAGTCCAATAGCAAAAAGAGAGCAGGAAAATCATGATGTCATGGGAAGATGCAGTAAAAAAAAGGGCAAGGCAAAACACTATCAGTATCAACACAGTTCCTTTATTGTCAGTCAGGCATTCTAAAAAAATATGTGTCCATAAAAATGATTCAAAAATCAAAAATAATCGCACTGTAAATGAATGTTCTGCTGAAGAAAAAGAAACTGGAGCCACCGGTCCACCACCTAGTCCAAATCCGACAGTTCCATGGCCTTACCAATGGACTGGTTGTGTTGGACCACCTGATCAAACGAGGGAGGGAGAGGAGTAGTTCCAATTTGAGTCCCAGGCAGCGTGTGATAGGTGTAGCTGTAGCGAAGACGATGGACAAAAGATAAGTGTACCCAAGTGAATGGGACAGCGATGAACATGGGCGACGCAAGGGGATGAACCTTCTCCAGCTCAAAAATTACCCACCCACACTCCAACCAGGCAAGACGAGCGACCGATGTTTTGATAGTATATGATGGCAGATCGACGTCATGAAGATGGACCTGTTGCCCTATTTGAACCGGTGTCATGCACCAAAGTTGATTGGTAGCATGGACAGGTGTCAAGAATGAAGCGAATATTCAGAAAGACTCGCCTTTGCGCCACACAGGCACAGTGCCACGTGGAATAGTAATTAATATTGCCCTTTTCAAACTTGTGGCTGATCAGCACCACCTCTATTAGGCAATCCAGTCACGCTCACCTTTGCTTTTCCATCCGGTGCTTTCCGCGTTTCGGCATTTCGGCAAATTTTCGCGTCGCCACTGGCTACACATTGCATTGCGCCCTCGCTTTTGTCGTTTCCCTTACTCCCCTTCCTTTGCCTAGCCCCACCATGGGCCCCTTCCTCTCCTTTTTATTCTCACCTGACGGTCGTTTCTGGATCCCCATTCTAATCCACTTTTTCGTCACCTCCACCCTCCTCCTCCTCATCTTATTTGCACCCCCACCATTTCTGATGTCACCACTTCCTATCCACTTCCGTCACCGATCCGTTGACTACCACGTGCCACTGCTGATATCAGCAAAGCCCCGGCGGCCAGTCCAAATAGGGCAACAGGTCCATCTTCATGACGTCGATCTGCCATCATATACTATCAAAACATCGGTCGCTCGTCTTGCCTGGTTGGAGTGTGGGTGGGTAATTTTTGAGCTGGAGAAGGTTCATCCCCTTGCGTCGCCCATGTTCATCGCTGTCCCATTCACATGGGGTACACTTATCTTTTGTCCATCGTCTTCGCTACAGCTACACCTATCACACGCTGCCTGGGACTCAAATTGGAACTACTCCTCTCCCTCCCTCGTTTGATCAGGTGGTCCAACACAACCAGTCCATTGGTAAGGCCATGGAACTGTCGGATTTGGACTAGGTGGTGGACCGGTGGCTCCAGTTTCTTTTTCTTCAGCAGAACATTCATTTACAGTGCGATTATTTTTGATTTTTGAATCATTTTTATGGACACATATTTTTTTAGAATGCCTGACTGACAATAAAGGAACTGTGTTGATACTGATAGTGTTTTGCCTTGCCCTTTTTTTTACTGCATCTTCCCATGACATCATGATTTTCCTGCTCTCTTTTTGCTATTGGACTTTACTTTATGGCTGTACAAACCTGTGACATTACTCACAGCATTCATTGTTCTATCTCTTTCTTTTCCTTTTTTTGACAATCTTATCCTGTACTACCTACGCAGGATTTGTCAGCATACATTCCTTCCTTCATGTTCTTTCTCATTCTTTTTGCACAGCTATACTGTGCATAGCCTACTTTTCTTTTACTATATAAACCCCTGTATTTTACCTTGTAAAAAAAGAAACAAGTAATCCAATCCAGACTTCTTCTCTACTCTCAAGTTCACTACTTCTACTACTTTGTGATCCAGTGTGGTCACAAACACTTTCCCACTTCTACCACTGTTAACTGCTGTCATCGTCACTCGTCACTTTTTGAAAGTGATTGTCATCCCCTTCGATTAGAGTCCTTCTGAGCACTACAGTTTGTGCGTCAGGAGCCTGCTATCACTGGGAACCTCGTCATATTGTCGTTCTCAAACCTACCTTGTGCTACGATTAGCAAGGTAGTGCTCGTCTATACTCGTCACCAAGCCCCTATCCTTCTATAAATTCAACTATCCCTCCTCCTCAAAACCCACACTCATACACCTCTGGGTTTTACTTTGAAGGATCTTTATACGTACCACCCCACGAACAACCAGATCACTCCACTGTTCTAGGAGGCAAAGCCCATAAACAAGTTCCGTGGAATCTGGGAGGATTGTGTGTTAGTTTGTTTTGTGTGTGGTTTTCTAACTGCAGTTCTCATCATCGACACCGGCCGCCCGGGCTTTGCTGATATCAGCAGTCGCCCGTGGTAGTCAACGGATCGGCGACGGAAGCGGATAGGAAGTGGTGACATCCGAAATGGTGGGGGTGCAAATAAAATGAGGAGGAGGAGGGTGGAGGTGACGGAAAAGTGGATTAGAATGGGGATCCAGAAACAACCGTCAGGTGAGAATAAAAAGGAGAGGAAGGGGCCCATGGTGGGGCTAGGCAAAGGAAGGGGAGTAAGGGAAACGACAAAAGCGAGGGCGCAATGCAATGTGTAGCCAGTGGCGACGCGAAAAATTTGCCGACATGCCGAAACACGGAAAGC